GTATGAGAGTCCCAATCTCTCCACAACCTCGCCAGCATTTGTTATTTTCTGTCTTGTTGAACTTTGATACTAGTGCTGGAGCAAGTATTCATAAAGTTTTCATTGGTCATTTTTTTGGAAGTAGACCTGGTTACGTCCTTCTTCCTACTGTGTCTTAGTCTGGGAGCGCTGTTGAAAACTGTCCACCATGGGTGACCCTCTGATAATGTGAAACACCAGTGGTATAGCTTCCAGCATCACAGCAACACACAAGCCATCACAGTACAAAATACTGACAGACACAGAGTGGCCTTGTGGATAAGGAATATATTAATGCTTGGCACTCAGGTGCACACACTCACACACACGTGTTTGTGTGTCTTTGACCATGTGTGTATGTATATAACTAAATGTATGAACAAGTAATCTTACGTTGTAAGATTAAATCTATTCTTTAAAGGTGAATTCATTTACTAGGAATGAAAGAAAAAAGGCTGTTGTTGTTGTTGTTGTTATGTGCCATTGAGTCAACCCGACTATAGCGACCCCTCCTTGGGTTTCAGAGGCGGTATCACTATGGAAGTAGATTGCCCCATCTTCCTTCCGAGGAGTGGCTGGTAAGTTTGAACCGCCAGCCTTCTGGTTAGCAGTCAAGTGCCTTAGGCACTACGCTACCAGAGCTCCCAGAAAAAAGGCTAGTATTTCTGTACTTATTCTTTACTTGACTACAATAGGCATGGGTGGATTATCATGACAGAAGAACAGCAAATAAAGACATAGTTACATATTTTCTATAAAAATGTAATTCATGTGGTCATAGGGGACATCAAGCTCAACTGGTATAACATACTACACAAAAACATTGTTCTATATCCTACTTTGATAAATAGTGACCGGGGTCTTAAAAGTTTGCAAGCAGCCATCTAGACACAACAATGGGTCTCTCCTTATCCAGAGCAAATGATAATGAAGAAAACCAAAGGCACACAGAAACAATTAGTCCAAGGGACTAGTAGAACATGCAATCCCCAGTCTATATGCCACGAGACCAGAAAAACTAGAGAGTGTCCAGCTACCACTGTCAACCACGAGGGGCAGGGGATGGAATCAGTGCAGGAGATCCTGGATAGAGTGGGGAACAATGTGGAACAAAACTCGAAATCACAAAAAAAGATTTTTTGTGATTTTTGTGATTTTACTGGTCTGATAGAGCCCAGTGAGACTCCTGAGACTATGGCCCCTAGTTACCTTTCAGATCTAGAACTGAATTCATTCCTGTGGCTTCCAGCCAAACAACAGACAGGCATATGGTATGAACATTTACATTAGGTAGATACACTCCTTAGAGTGATCAATCATAAAAGAATAGAAGGGCAGTGTTTGTGCACAGGGAGGTAGCTCGGGGGTATGGGTGGGGGGCCCTAATGCATAGGAAAGAAGAACACAGGGAAGAGGTTAACTACAGAGAGGAAGTAGGAAGAGATCTGCTACATTGTGGGGAATCGTAGTCAATGTCATGAAACAAAATGTATATGAACTGCTGTATGGAAAATGAATTTGCTCTTTAAACTTTCACCCAAATCACAATAAAAATACAAAATAAAATAAATATGGTGTGGGGGCCCAAACAAACAAACAAAAAAGCAATTCAGCAAAACCTTTTTTGGTGTTATAAAATACGTATCACAAGAGAAAACAAACTAATGCCAGTATTTTACTGTTCCTCCCCTTCTATAATCCCTCAAAAACATAACAAATCAAAAAGACTTCCAATGCATCTAGGATCAGAACAGATTCTGCCCATTCTCTTAAATCTATTTCTAATACAGTCTCTGCAATGAGAATTTATGTTCAAAAACATTATTCTCCAAAGTCAAAAGGCAAATTGGAAAATGTATTAGGCAAAGAGCTAACTTAATTTGACTTTGCCCAAAAATGATCAAAGAACAAGAACAAGCAGTTTACAAAGATATATGAGGATCAATTTCATTCATAATTTTTAAAAGTACAACTAGAACAGGATACTTTTCACCTGTAAGAGTAATGTTTCTAAAATTGTACCAGTGTTGGCAAGTGTGAAGAGAAGTTGACACACACCTAATATGATGCCCAGCTACCACCATCAACCACTCGGAGGAGGATCGATGTAGGAGATCCTGAGTAGGGTAGGAGAACAATGTGGAACAAAACTCAAAATAATAATAAAGGGACCAGGTTTGCTGGTCTCATAGAGTCTGGTAGAACCCCTGAGACTATGGCCCCTAGCTGCCCTTTCAGGTCTGGAATTGAACCCACTCCTGTGACTTCCAGCTAAACAAAAGACAGATGAGCTGAACATTTACATTAGGAAGATACAATACTTAGATCAATCCTGGGAGAAAAGAAGGGCTGTGAATACACAGGGAGATGGTTCGGGGAGCAGGAGTGCACGAGAGGAAAGGACACAGGGAAGAGGTAACTATGGGGAGGAAGTGGGAAGAGAGCTGTTGCATTGTAGGGAATTTCAGTCACTGTCATGAGACAAAGTGTGTGTGTGAACTGCTGTATGGAAAATGAATCTGCTCTGTAAACTTTCACCCAAATCACAATAAATTTTTTTTTTAAAAAAAAGGCATACATACCCTAGCATGGTTGTCATCAGAAAAAAGAAACCTAACAAATGCTGGCAAGGATGAGGAAAGCTGGAACTCCTGTACATAGTTGGTAGGAATATAAAATGGTTCAGCGACTATGAAAAAGTTTGGCAGTTTCTCAAAAAGTTAAACATAGAACTACTAAGATAAAAGAGCTGAACAGAAGATTTCAAAGAGCAGCTCAAGAAGATAAAATCAATTATTATGATGAAATGTGCAAATACCTGGAGTAGAAAACCCAACAGGGAAGAACACAACCAGCATTTCTCAAGCTGAAAGAATTGAAGAAAAATATTTAAGCCTCTATGGGCAAAACATTGAAAGAGAGAGGAAACATCAAAAGCAGATGGAAGGAATACAAAGAGTAACTATCCTAAAAAGAACTGGTCAATCTTCATCCATTTCAGGAGGTGGCATGTGTTCAAGAACCAATGATAGTGGAGTAAGAAGTCAAAGCTGCACTGAAAGAACTGGCAAAGAAAGGCTCCACAAATTGACGAAATACCCATTGAGATGTTACAGAAGTGATCCCACAGAATGTGGAAATTATTGAACAATATCATTAATATCACACACAAGTAAAATCTTACTGAAGATAATTCAAAAATGGTTGCAGGCGTATACTAACGAAGGACTTCCAGGAATCCAAACTGGATTCAGAAAAGGACGTGGAACAAGGGATATCATATGTCAGCTGGATCTTGGCTGAAAGCAAAGAATACCAGAAGGATGTTTACTTCTGTTTTATTGACTATGCAAAAGCATTCGATTGTGTGGATCATAAAAATTAAGGATAACATTGAGAAGAATGGGAATTCCAGAACACTTCATTGTACACATGAGGAACCTGTACATAGACCAGGAGGCTGTCATTCTAACAGAACAGGGGGGCACTGCATGGTTTAAAATCAAGAAGGGAGTGTGTGCCAGGGTTGTATCCTTTCACCATACTTATTCAATCTGTATATTGAGTAAATAGTGCAAGAAGCTGGACTACATGAAGAAGAACGTGGCATCAGGATCGGAGGAAGGCTCATTAACAACCTGCAATACGCTGACAACAGAACTTTCACTTGAAGTGAGGATGAACTGAAGCACTTACTGATGAAGATTGAGGACTACAATCTGCAGTATGGATTATACCTCTATATAAAGAAAACAAAAATCCTCACAACTGGACCAATAAACAGCATCACATACATGGAGAAAAGATTGAAGTTGTTAAAGACTTCACATTACTTGGTTCTGC